GTGGAGTCAGTAAATTAATACTGTGGCTAGACTAACTTACAAGGGGAGGAGTGCCTTGAGAAATCCTCTGAACAGCAAGAGACCACTGAGTGTTCCACATGTAAGGCCCTCCTACAGGTCGAGGTTTTAGAATAGGAGGTGCTAAGCCAAAAAGGGCTATATAGAACCATAGATTGCGAAACAGTTTCAAAAGTGACGGTTCCACATTTGAAGTAGGATCTACATCCGAACATATTTCCGCAACAGCAGGAAGAAGAGGACCTAAAAGGTCTGCACCGTTCCTACAAGAAAATGAAGCATGTCACTAATAATAAAATTGTTGTAAAAATTAATCCCTCGATTCTATTTATCTTACTGTTGAGCCAAGAATACAATTAATTACTACTGTCAATAATCAATCCCTCAAATGTATTACTGTTGAGTCAATAATACAATTACCGTCAATAATCAATCCATAGGAAAATTAGTTTTATACAAGCTAGGATCAAATAAAAAGAAAATTACCCTTTACTCCTGGACTCAGAAGTCAGGCCTACATCTGAACATAAGGAAAGCAGACGATGGAGATAGTCTGCACGCAGTTTTGTGTTCATAAGACCACTAGCAATTGTAAGAAAGCCTGCAGCAAGAGTCTTGCAATGGCAATTGGATATGTGAGCATTAGTGTAATAGGAAAAAAAAACTCAGAAAATGAACAATGTATCAGACTAAAGTATACCTCTACGTACTCAGTTCGAGATTTTGGTGCTGATGTTTTCCTTTCCACAGATCCCCCTGTCGATATTTGGCTATAGTAACCTCTAATCATCAGAGCTACTGTCTGACGGTAGGACGTCTCAACCCCTAATGTTGCTATCCGAGATACAGCATCAAGAAGCTGCATATAAGTGCCAATATATAGATGGATAAGTAAATAACGGGAAAGGGCATATACGGTGGAAATTTGTGCCATTGCCAAAGCTTGAGAAAGTTATCACTTGGAAAATGGAACCGTACTTGGAGTTGCAAAGAGAGGGGAGTTGAAGCATCACCCTCTTCTAGGCTTTCAATTAAAAATGGGAAAATCATGTCCGCTACTTCTGACTTTTTAACAGCAACGCAAATATCAGCAAGCAGCTGTACAGGAGGAACTTCCTTCTCTCTACCAACCTGAAGACCAAAGAAAATTAGAACTATATATAATGCAACAAAAGAAAGATGAATGAGTCAGCTGAGGGAAAGTTTTAGAGTAACCTGGTCTTCGTAGTCATTCTTTTCACGAATAATTGAAGCTAACCCCAGGATGAAGGTGTCCAGTAAAGCTCGATCCTTGTCCCAAACAGATTCAATAATCTCACAACTCAATTTACATACACTCTCATAAATAATCCCCTGATTTCTCACCGACTGTTCCAAAAGAAAGAATCATCAATCAGTCACTTAAACTGTACAAGAAGATACATCCGGACTACAGAGGATATGTGACATGATGTGTTCAGTTATACTTCTATAGAGCTCCAGACGCAAACCATCAATAGATTAAAACATCTTGCTTTCGTATGAGTTAAAGCAAAACAAAAAAATTACCTGTACACAGACGACAGCCAGTACCATTGGTTTAAGTCGGAAGAGAAACAAACGAAGTGGCTGCCCTCCTGTTGCCACTGCAAGCTTGGCAATCCCAGAAAGCAGAGAACCGAACAGTTCTTCACATGTCTTCATCTTCCGCCAAACGGATTTCAAACAGGCATCAGCAGCATCTAATAGCAATGTAAGAGCCTCCAAGACAATTTTTTTCCTTCCATCTGTTTCAAGGGACAAGAGGCTCTCGATTTCCATTTTAGCTGCGGCCTGATAAACATACATTTTGGCATTGACTATACTTTTCAGAACTGGTTCTTGTTTGAGAAACGCAGGCATGGACTGGAGGTGCTTCTTAGCAATAGATCTGACGTGAAGGTGGAGTTTGGAATCGACATTCACTTTACCCAAAATATGAGTTATCAGTTTGAAAGCAATCTCTTGCTGCTCCAAACTCTCGATGGTGTCGTGCTCCAAATAAGCCACTTCTTTCTGTGTAAATTGATGGAGCAGAATCGCAGTCAATCTGTCACCGCCGTCAGACGGCTGAATGGACGGAAAATTCTGAGAAATAGCGACCAGAAAAGCCCTACAGATTTCCGGATCCAAGTCGCTGTCACCGGAGCTCATGATCTCATCCCATCTAAGCTCTGAAACTTTGGTACCGAACAGACACGAAACGTAACCTAGGAAACTGCAATAGAAGGCGGAAATCGACTTTAGCGTGAACGAGTAGGGCCAGAACGAACGGTGGAAGGACTTGTCTAAAGTCTGGAAGAAATCGAGGACGACGGATTTTCCATGGTTTTCGGCTGTGTCCACGTTACTGGAGATAATCCGAGCGACGGACAAGACGGCGTTGAGTTGACTCCGAGAAACTCTTGCCGTTATAGGTTGCGGACACTCTCGGCAAATCCAAATAAGATTCTCCCATAATTTGTTCGGATTCTCTACTATCATGTCGCAAAGCTCCGTCCATCCCTCCATCTCCGACCAGTAACATACACAGAAGCTCTCTAGTCAAGACAAGACAGAACAAACAAATACAAGGGAGCGGGAAATCAGAAGCTATCAGGGAGACGGAATTTCAACTAAATAAATACGTAATCTCATCATCGCTTCCTTTTCCTATTTTAATTTAGACTCTGACTACGTTGTTAATCCTTATAAATTAAAAGAAAACTTGTAATTTAAAATAGGGTTTCTTGGGAATATAGTACGTTTTAGAAACATAATAGGCAAACTAGTACGGGTACTATTTACAATTGGAAAACCTCCCACTTTTTACTGTTTGTGTAATAGATCTCGTGTGAGATAGGTTTTGTAGTGGAATTGAGAAATTACATAAAAGGGGCTCTGACTGTTTATTTGTTTTTTTTCTCTCCAAGGGCTTTTGACGCTTTGTTTTTATCTAACGTTTCTTCTCTCCTTCTCTCTCTTATCGTCTCTCTTGTACAAAGCTCAATCATTGTTTCTCAGAGATTGTCTAGTGGATCAAGACTATTTGGGGTACTCCATCTCTTTCTCAAAATTCGTTTCTATCTGCAAAACATGATTTTTCTCATGATTTTAAATCAGTTTTTGAATTGAATTCCGAAAAAATCGAATTGAAATTTGGGCAATTTGAGATCGAACCTCTTAGGCTCTTGAAAGCCGACACGCCGCTATACGAGACTACGGTAATGTTCTTCAACCTGCAAATCAAATTGAGAAGAGAGACAATCAATCAAATTTGTTAGGCTCCAATATCTCGCCGTCTTCCTTATTTACGCTCAAGTTTCTATCTCTTTCTCCGCGATTGATTCAAATCTGTTTGGGGTCTAGGGTTCATCGATTCTCTGAATTTGTCTCATCGCTGATTATTATATTTTCCGGTGGTTTCAGATTGGGTGCGCATTAATCGGATCATTAGGAGCATTATACAATGGAGTTTTGTTGATAAATTTGGCGATTGCGTTGTTCGCGCTTGTTGCAATCGAGAGCAATAGCCAAAGTCTCGGCCGCACCTACGCGGTTCTTCTCTTCTGCGCTCTGCTTCTTGATATCTCATGGTTCATACTTTTCACCCAAGAGATTTGGTATTGCTCTTAACCCTTCAAAACCTTGCTTATGAATCTGGAACTAAGCTTTGCTCTAAGAGACTTCACTCTCTTTGTTTGATTCCCAACACATAATGTATTTGCTTGAGCAAAATTGGATATCAACTTTGTTTTCCTTGGAAAATGATTGATAATTCTTAGTTGATTGTGTTTGAATGACTTTGGTGTGAAATTGAAATTTCAGATTTCTCAGCTCTTGAGAAATTAAATTGATCTTCTTTATATGCCTATGATTTTGAGTGATATGTTAAGATGATGATTTAGTCGTTGTTCTTTGGATTCATTTGTTCTATATGCATATGATTTTGAGTGATGTTTGGGGTGATGAGGTTTTGTTGTGTGTGATGAAATTGATTTAGGTCTGTTGATGAGTCTTAAAAGAACTCTTTTGTTTTGTTGTTATTAACTACTAGGTTCAGCTTTGGCAAGTAATCTGCAAAGAAGAAGAGGAAGAATCAGACCGAAGGATTAGGCAACGACATTGGGGCATCTTAATCATTCGATCTTATTCACATTAATATTAATTGCTAACCAAACTTTACACATCTACACAAATATGGACCGTATAATCAGAATTGGAGTTCTCCATAATTTTTTTAAATTTCTTTGTCGTAGACCTTTGCTTACGGAGAATTATCCCTTCCTCATTCAATTTCCAATTCCAGAATTTTATATGCCTAACTGGTTTTGCATTTGGAAACACATTTCTAAAGCATGGACACTTATGCTGCTTTTGTTGAAGGTGAAAACGAGTTCTAGTTGTTTGTTTAAAAACTTATATATAAGTTGTGTAATATTTATGTAGTCTGAATTGGTAGGATATTATGTGTGTTGTGTACAGGTTCTGGTATTTTGCAACGAACTTATAATTTATTAACATATTTAGTTATCCACAAAAATGTTATATATCAATTATGATTTCTATAAATTTACCAAAATCGCAGTCTGTACATATAGTATGCTGTACAGATTAGTTGTACGAAATGCTATCTGTACAGCCACCATGCTGTACGGAATGCTATCTGTACAACATAACGCTAACCGAATGCTATCTGTACAGCCACCATGCTGTACAGATTAGCTGTACGAAATGCTATCTGTACAGCCACCATGCTGTACGGAATGCTATATGTACAGCATAACGCTAACCGAATGCTATCTGTACAGAATGCTGGTACGTTACGCTTATCACTTTAACCTAACCCTAACCGAAACCCTCATATATAAACTAAACAAATATATAGGAAATCCAACACTACCAATTTAAAAAACAATATTGTTCTCTGTGTGTCTAAGTGATGTACAGATAACCTCTTGCTGGCATCTGTACAGCATAAGATATGTACAGATAACCTCTTGCTGGCATCTGTACAGCATATTTAGTTATCCACAAAAATGTTATATATCAATTATGATTTCCATAAGTTTACCAAAATCGCAGTCTGTACATATAGTATGCTGTACAGATTAGCTGTACGAAATGCTATCTGTACAGCCACCATGCTGTACGGAATTCTATCTGTACAACATAACGCTAACCGAATACTATCTGTACAGCCACCATGCTGTACAGATTAGCTGTACGAAATGCTATCTGTACAGCCACCATGTTGTACATATAGCATGCTGTACGGAATGCTATATGTACAGCATAACGCTACCCGAATGCTATCTGTACAGAATGCTGGTACGTTACGCTTATCACTTTAACCTAACCCTAACCGAAACCCTCATAAATAAACTAAACAAATATATAGGAAATCCAACACTACCAATTTAAAAAATAATATTGTTTTTTGTGTGTCTAAGTGATGTACAGATAACCTCTTGCTGGCATCTGTACATCATAAGATATGTACAGAATGCTATCTGTACAGCATGAACAGAATACTATCTGTACAGAAACGTGGCTGTACGAAATGGTATCTGTACATCACAAGATATGAAACCTGAATTGGTAGGATATTATGTGTGTTGTGTACTGGTTCTTTAAAATCTTCCAATCACAATGAATGAAATCAGAACTAGAAAAGGCACACAAAACAGTAACTTCCTTTCTTCAAGAACACACTCGATAAGTCGTCATCTTTATCTTCTGCGTATCCAGTTGATCTAGCTGCTTCTATAAAGGACACATTTTGGCCATCAAAAATTGTAGTCTTTAGTACTTCTGTAAGTTCTTTGCTTCCAGCAAGCAAGCAGCTGTATCAAGAAAATTTACAAGTAAGACAAAAAGAGACAAAGAAACAATCGTTTCTCAGTTCATAAAAATCAAAACAAGGGTACCTTCCTAAACAACTGATCCCAAATCGGGTTGGTTCTTCATATGTAAACAAGATTATCTCCAGAGATCTCTTCGGTTTAACCCCAACACTTAAAAAAACAAAGAAAGCCCAACAAAAATCATCAAGAAACACATATCTTAAACCGTTCACTTTCTACAACACCGACAACGCCATCATAAAACACCGACAACGCCATCATACTTTCCGGAATATGGAATAGCATCGATATGAGAACCAATCGCTACAACAAGAAGATTCGGCTCTGAACCATCCCTAAGTTAGAGAAATCAAACAACACACATCATGTGAATAACATAATCAAACTTATCTTCTTAACGAAACAACTAACAAGAGCAAGAGCCAAACCATTTGCCAAATATGTAACCAACAGCATCTTCTCTAACAGTTAGATCAGAAACAGTTCACTACCGAGTCTACTCCCAACTTACAAAGATTTATCAAAAGTTACAATCTCCCAAACCTGGATAAATCCAAGTTTTAGCTGCCTCAGGATCAATCCCAACTAAAGGACTCTTATCGTTACCACCACCACATTCAAATTCATCAAAATTCGACTCGGAAACAACTTGATTCTCCGGTTTATGCTCGGTTCTTCCGATGAATTTATCGAGAGTAGATTGTCTTTTCGCAGGAGGCTTAGTGCTATTTCATGTAATTGGAGGATGAGCCAAAGGAGTGAAATGGGAAGAAGAAGAAGCATTGGAGGTTTTAAGACAAGCCAAGTCGATTTCTTTGACTGCTGCTTCCCAAGCGAACTCCTGTAGGAGAAAACCCAGAAGTTGAAAAATTCCAAAATTGATTCAAATAACGAAATTTTCAGAAACCCAGAAAGAGATTTTAACTCACTTCGTCTTCTTCGATGGTTTCTATTAGAACCCTAGATTCCATCTCTCTCTCCGCTCCATCTCTGCAATTTTGTTCCATCTCTACAATTTTCATCTCTCTCTCTCTTGTTCAAATCTCCAATCGATCTACTTTAAAGACGTGATTGATGATAGAGAATTAGAGGTGGCGAATCTGAGGGAGAGAAGAAAAAGTTTAGTTGGGTTGTTGTTGTTGGTGGAGAATAGATTGCTCGAAGAAGAAGAATGATGGAATCAGATGCTGGGAGAGAGAGAAAAGAGACGTCTTTTTTTTTTGGATTAAGAATGGCAACATTGTAAATATGAGTTTTTGATAAGGCTTTTCTTGCCATTACACATTTTATCTTCTATTAATGTAACAGTAAAAGCAAGGTGTATTTCTGAGTTGTAAATAGTACACGTACTGTTTTTCTAATTATCTTTGGAAAACGTACTATATTGCCAATTATCTCTTTAAAATAAATAAATAAACGTGTATTTACCGACCCCAAAAAAGATAATAACTTAAGAAAATTATTTTAATTATATTTGATTATCGTAAGAAAATCAGTGAAGGAAATTAATAGAAAACAGTAAATACTTGCTTTTTTGGTTCAAAGATACACTTTCTTATTTATTTGCTTGAAAACAGATTAACCTAGAATAAGTAAACTCTTAATGTTATTTTATTTTGACTCACTCTATCAAACTCTAACTACTAATTATCTAATGCTCGCGGGATAAGAAGTTGAAGAATGAAAATAAGTACCATCTAATTCGAATTATGATTTAAATAATAAATTTAATATCATTTTAAAATATATGATGAAGTTGAGATTTCGGCTGTGTTGTTTACATAGGAGATGACTATGGTGCGTAAAGATAACATTAAGTTCCAAGATGCAATGAAACTCCATAGGTGTTCCAGTCTTCAATAATGGAGTGCTTCAGCCTTCCGTTTCTGCTACTGGAATATATCTGGCTTCTATTTGAAGTCTGCAATTATATTATTATTATTAAAGATCAATCAGAACTAAAAACAAAGTAACTAATTAAACTGGTATTATACAATATCATATTTGGCTCTGTAACAATGGATTTAGGTAATGATGAGCTAGCTAACCTGTCTATCAAGGGAAGGAATTTATAGAAGAATCGTCTTCAATGGCTTGCGTAGCTATTAACATCTGTGAAATCACAAAGACACCTAATTCATGTTCCAGATCTAAACAGCTGAAAAAGATGGCTCAGAGACATAACATATGCGAGGGATCTCTAGCATGAACAAACACTTCAATCATACTTGTACTCAAGTTTTGGAAATTAACTGAAATAAGTGGCAAGACAAACAATAGTAACAAAAGCAGAAAAATCTGGACGAGATGGCCATAAAACCAGACTGAGTTTGGCTCTGCTCTTTGAATGCACGTGGTAAACATAGTTTTTCACATGCATGGAACATAATTTTAGTCAAGTCACTTTGATAACTAGAGAAATCAGAACAGAGAGAATCATATCAGTGCATATGAACAAATATAAGGCATGCAGGCTGACCTGTTGAGCTCCAATCCGGAGAGTTGCTTGCATCTGAAAATATTAGCATAGAACTGTGGTCCGAGGGATGATACAAGCTGCACAAAGTTTAACACCAAAAGCTCGTCATCTATAAAGTTGGTCAGCTTTAACCCTATCGAAATGTTTTTGACAATAGCTTTGGGGGTAACCGTTCCAGTCTTAGTTCACAATAATGAAGTATGTTCGATGAAAGAAGTAGCTTAAAAATCTATCTTCTATTTAGCCTATCACGTCTTTGTTAGTTTGATCAAATATCGTTTCATACCTCTTCCTTGAACCTGGTTCTTTGATCACATCTGAATCACAAAGGAAGCCATCAACTTCAACACTGTGAAACAGACCACATCAACATAAGAGGAAGAAACCATAACAAAAAGAAAGGACAAATTACAAAAAGATTACAGCCAATTCGTCGATAGAAAACGGCATATCACACTGATCACACCTGTAACAAACAGAACTTTACTATCCCAAATATTCTGTAGAAACCATAAAGTGCAAGTAGAGATCTGTAGATTCGTTTACTACTTTAGGAAACAAGGGAATGAATGCAAAAAACAAAGACAGACAGAAGCTTCAATTAAAGTCTCCAATTTCTAACACAACAAGACCATCTTAAAAACCAAAAAGTCCACTTTTTTATAAGAACTTTCTCAAGATACTACTACCAACCATATAAACACCAAAAGTCCAAAGCCCTTTAATCTAAATCCCAACGCGAATCAAAAGATACCTGACACTAGCTGAGCCATCGAATCAAAAGATGTCTTAATCGCCTTCAGCTGCTGCTCGATTCTCTCTTTCTCAACCTTCAGCTTCTGTTTCTCATCCTACATATTGACAAAACACATAAAAAGATTAAATGGAAAATTTAAAGATCTCGCCAGGCTACAGCCATGAGGTTTCAGTCTTGTTTACCTTCAACTCCTTGATTTTCTCCTGGAGGCTTGAATTCAAGTCCTTCAATTTCTGTGCTTCGTCTCTAACTTGATTCACCATGCGAATTGCATCACTGATAATAGCAACCTTGTCTGTTTTTGGAGCTCTCCCAGGTTCCAAGATGGAACTCAATTCCGTAAACCTATAGTTAATGCACAATACGAAAAGATTAACAACTTAAAAGATAAAAGATTTGCAGAGAAGGAAGAGAAAGCAAGAAAATACTTGTCATTTAGCCTATCACGTCTTTGTTTCTCCCTACATGCTTTCGAGCTAGAACCAGCACAAGATTCCGATTTGATCCTGAAGCAATGATAAACATTAGTAAAAAAGCAAGAGCCGCAAGTATTAAGTTAAAGCACAAGGGAATGAATGCAAAAAACAGAGACAGACAAAAGCTTCCATCTTAGTATCCAATTTCTAACACAACAAGACCATCTTAAAAACCAAAAAGTCCACCTTTTTATAAGAACTTTCTCCAGATACTACTACCAACCATATAAACACCAAAAGTCCAAAGACCCTTTAATCTAAATCCCAACGTGATTCCAAAGATACCTGACACTAGCTGAGCCATCGAGTTGATCGCTCTGCCAAGGGAAAGTAGGATTGTGTGATCAGAGAAAGCACCATCAATCAAAGGGTAATCACTGAGCCAGTTCGTATTTCTCCAAATACTCACCAATCAACAAAAAAACGG